TCTCAGATGAAAAATGCTGTTAGCAACAGTGACGAAATGTTCGATAAATAAACTGAGACAATATTGAAAAAATTGTCGTTATCGCGAATAACAAAATTATATTCAAGAGCACCTACTACGCAAGTCGAGTTAAATACACAAAGTTACAAGAATAATTAATTGGGCGGAAGGTGACTTTATAAACATGATCTGGTGTATTATAAATAGTTGATGGGGCATTGTCTACTGTCCAATGTGCGTACGTTATTAACATTCGATGAGTGGTTTCCGCTTTTCTCACTAATAGTAAAAAGCCTATGCACTGTGCATTGAAAAACTGAGGTGCCAGGCGCATTGCTGCCCTTGCGTCCAAAGTGTGGGATTTAGAACTTGGGTCTGATCAAAATACAAATCAATGTCTAATCCATGTCTGTTCATTTGCTAAATTCGATAAGTGCTCTCTATAAAGAGCTATTGCTCCAAAGAAAATGTGCGGCTGACACTCTTCGATGAAAAAATGCCAGGGGCAAAATACGTAAATTTTGCATCTATAATATTTAAGATGTTCCATTACACGTTGATTCGAGATTTTATAGTGTTGTAATAGAATCGATAGCAAGAATCACCGCACTCGTAGCGGAATACTTATTTGAGCAAATTTCCACATTACTTTATTTATAGTAGCCATATAAAATAGAGTTTCAGAATCAACAAACATCAAAAACACTGTCTTCGCTATAAGAGGGTCTTCGTTATCTCGCCGATTACTTTAGGGTCAAGCGGACTTTCATCTTCTGAATTTATGTTACTCTTAGGAAATAGCCTTAAGTCCTATAGGCAGTGACAAAGTTTGTACCACAATTGTTGTTCGCTGTAGCTCGCTTCAACGATGGATCGAAAAGTTTGTCCCTTGTCTCTCTCAATAACGGCGATTGGGCATTCTCTTCCGCCATCCGGAATCTCCGTCATTTTCATGAAGTTATTATTAAGACAAAAAGTACTTGGCCACAGATTTATGGATGTTACATGTTAGTTAAGATAAATACACACAATTCAAAAACGAGGGATACATCAGCACAGTGAAGAGCTTTTCGAAGAAGTTAATTACTTCTTGATGGGTAAAATGTACATGTGCTGCCCGCTGCCCTTCCCGGTTAGGATTGTAAAACGACAAAGAACATTATTGCAAACAAAGCGGGTCATGAAGACGTGAGACTCTCGGCTCTTCCACTCCCCATATGACGACGCTCAGTCGTCAAAAGTGGTGGTACAACTATAAGGGTAGGATGGTCGAAATTATTGTTTACAACACTGCCAAGGAATACAACTTTTTTTGGCGTTATAGTCTTGACAACCGAAAAGGGCCGGAGTAAAGAGGTGTTTAAACAATGTAAAAGAGCTCGAACAGCAAACTTAGTCAGCTCAGCTGGACTTCCATAATCGAGATTTCCAGCGGCCGTGTCAGCCTCATAAAGACAAGGTGCTGCCAAACGAAGACAGCTTCAAAGGACCACTGATGGAAAAGGCAGCACCACGCTGAACAGATCGACTATGACCAACAGGTTCGATCCGCTCCCACGGTCGAGGATTTCGTGAAGAAACTTGCACGTTGGGTATCGCTAACAGTATCACCAGAAGTGTCAAACCCAGCACGCGAAATGTCCAGTCACCGCAGCGACTTTTCAGCGAGAATGGATTGTAAGGAGACGATAAGAATGCGCACAGGAACTACTAGTGCATAACAAATAGCGTTCTTGCTACCGGAAAGTCCAGATGATATAAACATTTTCATGATAATGGAAATTTGAGCAACTAGAAAGTTTAACCTGTTGCGTTTCTACTCGGTGTACTAACCCGCACCGAAGAGCAACGGGTCAGCCCGTTTTCGTGGACGCATCTCCGTGTCTTACAATTACAGAATGGGCAACTTTACACCATGTTTTGTGGAAAAAGGCAATGTTATTGCTTAATGTGTCCAGCGATCGAGCTTTGTAGCAAATAATTTTCGGCTGATTTGGAGGCGACGTGCTTAGTGGTAGGGTAATTCGTCAATAAGTTGAGAACGGTGTCCTTTCGCTCTGCCTACCTTCCGTTCGAATTCAATCTTGCATCGATACCGACCTTGTTGGGACATGCAGGAACGTTGTCTACTGATATATTTGCAATACAGATATAAGGTGAATTTCAGAGTGGAAATGATTCATTATCAGAGAGCGTAATTATTTTAACTTACATACGGTAAAATGGTAGACCTTACAGCACAAGTTGTATCTACGTAAACTTTCAACGCCAAGCTCCGTCGTAGATCAGATCCTGGAACGCGTCTTTGATGTTTTCCGAGTACTTGACCTATTGAATGCTTAAGCTTACTAGTAATATCTAATCTAATTTCTTTAGTTTGCCGTGCAACCCTTCCGTGTCCCGTAAACGCAGGCTGTAGTTTAATTTTACTTGCTTCCATGCCCGAAAGGCTTGGATGGGTTTCAGATTTGCAGCCGAATTACAGCCCGAGTTCTGCCCCCTAACCTTGGTTTTTGAAACTATCTATCAAGACATGTACGCGTCACAGCGGCTAAAGTAGTTTACACGAATAGAGGCCTGAAATGATCGGCGAAGCAGAACATCAGCATATACAAGTAACCGACGTAGCAGACCAGCTTGGCGACTTGTCCGACTAGCTCTTCGGTTCTCAACCATTGCTTCTCGGATATGTTTACGTTACGGGACACGGCATAGGAAAGGGTGATTTTAACGCGACACCTTCAATAAAAGTTCCTACTGCAAGAATGTATGCAAGGTCTTGCAAGCCTACCCAATAAGAAAGCTATCGGTCTAGACAAGGTGTACAACAAGCCTTCGTTCTGGCACTGTCCTGGACAGTACTATTTAATTAATTTTTGCACATTGGTACGCTCACAGCCCAACTAGGAGATGCTGCTCTATTAGTTTTTCTTAAGAGAAAAAGAGATTTCGTCGTCATAATGGCAGAGGGTAGCAAAAAGGGAACGTTCGTTATAAGCTGCTTTCCAATCTGCCCACTACAAAACTGCACATCTATCTGGAAGGCGTACACGTTATATCAATGCGGCCACATGAATTCCGGAGGTACCATTCTACGGAAATGGTGTACAGGATTTTGATGGCTGTCGTCCAGAGAGCACTAGTCACGTCGTGCAATCCATTGTCGTATGGACCAGCAAACCGTCGTACTGCTTGTCCCTTACAACCGTTCTCGTCTTGTTCGATTTTAGGATTGTTCTCGGAAACACATCATTTAAACGAATAAGGCGGAGAACCTCACACAATTAAATCATTTCAAAGACTCTCTCCTTGAACGAACACCGGGATTACACATAACCACTTCTAGCTAACTCTGTTCTTTCTATCCGAGGATCTATATCGCCGTTTCCAGCAACAGACACATTTAGGACTAGAATTAGAAAATGGGAACAAAAATTTGGATAAAGACTGCCTCGATTTAAATGAAATGAGGAACAAAGAAGGGAAAAAGCAACTCAACTAAACCGATTTGTCAACACTTGCTTTGCGGTGAATGGTTCGGCCATAGATTATGCACAAAACAATTATTACCGTAAACGACAATAGGCAGGAAAGGTTGCAATAGATACCATGCCGCTCGTTGTTTTCTGGCGCCATTCTTATGATATCTGACGAAATAGTTATACCGAAGATGTGTGAACTCAACTAGATTTGTGTAATCCGTCCAACGAAAAACGTTTGTAGTCTTATTTTTACTCTGATCTTGCAATATTGTATTGTTGACCCGTATATATGAAGTGTTTCACAACTATAAGCAGAAGCGGGAAAACGAAATTTAATTTAATGTAGGATTAGTAAACTGCTTCAGGCAATAATTTCGTATTACGTCAGGTTTATATCATTCGCGGACAGAATTTGTGAGGCCATACCCAAACTGCGTAAAGCACTTCCTTTTCTTTCAAGTACATTATGTGGCTAAAAAAGTTGAATAAGCTTTGATGAAATCACGAGAAATGTAGTCTCTGCCTATCTTGATGAAAGTAAAAGTGTGATTTTCGGAGTTAGATGGTAAGCACCAAACAGTTCATGTTCACAAGTTTTATGAAGCGGTGCTCATAAAGCGGTGCGGCGGGATTCGCCATACGCGCATACACTTACCGAGGGACACTATGATTTGAGTAGATCGCATGTACAGCTAGATTCCCTTAAAATAAATGTTGTCGAATTAGAAGAGCTCGACTAGTTAATTAACTTAAATCTTTGCTCAACACTTAGCCTAGTAACATTAAATTATAAAGAATTATATTTGTATAAGATCGTTAAGTACGTCTCCTATATCGTAATATATCGAAAAATCCAGCAAAGAATCACATGGAAACTCTTACCATACAGAATTCCTATATATATACACTTCCTCTTGGTGTTCAACAAATGAAAAATTATTTTAATACGGCATCACTTACGATTATTTTTATTGTTTTCTTTGGTCTTTTATAACGTGCGAGATACGTTTCTAGCTTTAGAAGTAAAATACAAGCCATACACGGCAAATCCAAAAGAATAAGAATACGGATATTGGGATATCAGCAACAGCAAAGACTGTAGTAAAAAGAATCGATAATAACAGCTATTTGTGGGCTAGCAAATGGAAAATGCTGCGTTCAAATGGGGGAAACTTTCCCGGCTATTTGTCGTAATGGTTCATTCATAGGTTCATTCGTTACACCTGATGCCGAACTGGACCTAGATTTACCGCTTCTAAAACAAAAGTGAAAAAAATAATTGAAAAGGCTCAATGAGCCATTCTTTGATACACCTGAATTTACTACAGGAGTAGAACGGCCATTTGGAAGAGGAGGATATCTATTGTCTACTGGATGGTCCCGATGAACTTTTATGTATTTAACAGTATTACTATAACTAAAAAGTCAACGATATCTACTTTTGACAAAGCAGAACCGAATACATAAAAATATAGCAAATGCTACACATGTGTTTAATTTATATTCCTTTTTTGACAGGGCAAAGAAAATAAGGCCCACATCTCTATATTTACGTATCCCGGGCTAATCAAAGATCACCTTTTCAACTTAAAAAGTATTCTGAACGAGTGTCTCAAGGAGTCCGTGAGACGGAAACGGAAATCAACCAAAATTATTGAAACGGTTATACGGCGTTTGGATTCGCTAATCGTGTGGCTTGAAAACAGCCTAACCTTGCTACCTACCATGAAGGTATTATCTGAATCAGTCTAATGACTGAACCATTCGTATACGCATACCACCTAAAGTATGCACGTGAAAAAGTCTAGAATCTGGCAGTTGCAAGGCATAATCATGTGGTGAAATCTTTCTAACTAAATTATACGGACCTGCAAAGTAGCTTGTTCAAAGAATCACATGGGCATGTTTACTCGATTGACTTTTCTGATTGGCATTTTCGACACACATCTAACATTTTATGCGGCACGTTATAGAACATGAATGCCTCAATTGTTCCTGAGCGTGAACATCGTGCGGCAGCGCCTGAGCCTCTGTTACGAAAAGGTGTTTTTAGTTTGCTCGTGCACAACAACTTAGACGCGGAAGAAGCCCATATTTTCCTGGTAAGTAGGTACCGTGTACACGTCATCGAAAACCTTATAATCGTTAAAACGTAAATGGGTTAGGATGGGAAATTTTGAAGGCCAAGTTGCTTAATTGGGTGAATAGTTTCGTCATCTCTATAATAAGCGAACTTCCCTGGTCCTAATCAATCACGTAACATTGTTTGTACATCGAATAGAAAATATTTGCTGTATTATATTTAAAATCATCTAAATGATTTTAAATCATACAAAACATGTAAAAGAATCGTATTTGGTCCGTTGAAATTATCTTATCAACATATGCTAAAAATGACGAGCGTAATAAATAAGTATTAATAATTAAGGAACATAATTAACCGGTGTAACGAACCTCTATATACGTATATATAAATAAATAAATATATACGAACGTATATATTTAATGTATGGTTTAGCAGATCAGGTAGAAATTCATGGCTGCGTCGAAAGGCTCCATTGAGAACGATTTCTATCGCGCGATATCATCTATAATATAGTTGGCAATAGAACTTAATCTATACAAGAAATATTTGAGGAAAGCTTATTTTGTTTTAAATAACAGTAGTGAAAGTGCATTAATATCAAGAAAAATACATCAAGCGTCGATAAACGGATACTGACATCAAATAACCAAATTGCAATACGTAGATTACTTAGAATGGCGACAATGCTGTAGTGATCCCGCAAAATGAAACAAACTAAATAAGTAATACAGATAACGCCGTGGATCTCTTTACTAAGTGAAGAAGAATTACCGAAATCATATTTCAGGACCTGACTTACTATTTTGAACACTCCCTAAATAAGTGAAGTAAAGGGAGAGAGGTCAGAGGAGACATCCGCACCAGACGAACACGAGGAGATAGTAAACTCTTTCCTAACTTAGGAGTTGTGCAAACTACGAGGACAATGTGAAAAAGGATATCAGTTACACCTGATCTATTATCAAGCAATGCTTTAGAATCCAATATCAATTATATTAATACAGACCAAAACACTAAAAATGATCGTCGCAGGTGTAAGATACCAAGTCTGCACTGTGGGGGAAGAAACTCTATAAACCATTAATTTAAGCCACTTAAATGGCTTAAAATAACACGCATGCAGAATGAGTTCTGTAACGGTAAATAACACCTCAAAATATTTTGAAGCCCTTTAAAATATTTAACAAGTGCACCTATGGGCTTTGTATCGCATAAAAGCTTTGTTCAGATTTGTAAGTAAGCCCATCGATGTCGTAACAAAACGCACTGCAAAACAAATTCTACAAGATGACTGATAATTGCCACTCTAGTGCTATATTTTCGTAGTCTCTTACAACGAAAGCAGATTTAGAAGATTCCCATGTCCAAGTGATCTATGCGTAGACTGAAAAGAGACGAACAAATTGTAAACATAGATGAGAGAACTATTCAACTGGTGGCAAGGAAATAGAAGATAAGACAGAAAGTTCTGGATGAGTGGTTAAACAGGGAATTTAGACTCTGAGAGCAACCATTTATCCTTGTGGGTAAAATTGGATACCCAGGAGTAATTTTACAACCGTTATGAGATAATGTGATCAAATTTTCACCCTTTTTGTTTTTTTGGTACTGAAAAAACTAAGAAATTTCGTGGTAATGGCTAGGGAACACTTCGAGAATTTCCCTAGGAGGCGATAATTGTAAATATTTCATACAAACACATTCTACTACAGATAATTTGTAGAAAAGCTATAATGAGTTTTGTAAGCGAAATAATTTTTATTAAAATATTAATAATATCTCCCCGTTCATGAAGTTTTTATTCTGTGGGTCAGTTGTATCAAGAAGAAAAGCCTAAATGTCGTCCTTAATTTTGCTTTTCATTGCAGTGTAACCTGTATGCCTGAAAATATATAAGGTTGATTTTTAATAGCTCTTCTTTTAAGAAAGCTCTTTTCAAGCTTACTCCTTGTAAGTAAAAAAAAAAATTTATAATGAAAAATAAATATCTTTGTCCGAAATATTTTTTGTTTGTCGGTTATGCACTTGCCGAAAACCAGGAACATCAAAATATTTTAGGAGTTTTCAGTTGTGGTCTCAGAAAGCTATGTTTAATTTCAAAGCACGCTATTAAGAACGTGTGTTATAATATGTGAAAATACATGACCTTCTATGTATTTGTTTGCGCTTAAAAAAGAAGTGAACAGGCTGACCTATTTACACAGTTGATTTAGTTCCATGAAGTGAAACACAGTCTCGGTGGAGTGAATTCAGTGAACTTTGCTGGCAGAGGATCCTTTGATGATGTTGACTGCTTAAGGGCTCTCTAGTTCGAAAAAGAAAATTGTTGTTTAAGCGTAGCTTGCAAGGATGATAGCGAAGGTTTACACGAAAAATTCTAGCACAGTTGTTCCTGAGAGTCACAAGATTTGCTTGAATAGCCTTGCCATTCAGGCAGACCAAGGCGCTCTTCATGTGACAGGCCATTGCTTCATGGTGGCAAAAAAACAGATCTGACTTTGCTTGAAATAGTGGAAATCGAAAAGAAGTCTACTACATTCTAAATTATATTAGCATTACATCAAGTGCTTCACATCCAGTATGAAACAAATGTGTTCATTCTATTGTCCATACAGCCGCAAATCTAACAAAGACCCGTACTGCCGCAGAACCAGTGCTATGCGACTTTCTACAGTGTAACCTTCATACATGCCTTTCTGAAATACGTCGGCATACTGGCACCAAGTTCATACTTTCCAAATTCCAAAACAAATTTAAATGAATTTCTTACTGTGGAAATGCTTCGTTGTGTGTGACTTTATATCCTTCGCATTGTTTGCGTCTGCATCTTCAGTGGCTTGTCCTCTCGTTTTTCATCGCTTTATTTATTTCAGGGCGATCGCATGTGGACAAGCTGTATCTCTCACATGATTTCCTTATTAGAAAGATCTCCGTGAAAAACCTTTCGCGTGGACATGGCGATTTGGACAAGCGACTTGTGCAATAAATTAGTGGCTGGCGTTATATAAAATAAGAACAAAAAAGGCAGGGGAAGTTCCCTTTATGTCCATTTGACAGCTAATTTTTTTGTTTTATTTCGCTACAAGATTCACCTTGAATGAGTTGGGCGATGATCAAAGTCCAAGAAGGATAGGTATAGTACTATTACCAAAAGTGGTAATTATTTTAAAATCATCTTTCGGTTAGTTTCTTAGATAATAAGAAAAAAAAACACTATTTTTTTGCAAAAGCATTTCACTGTATGTACGCATTATTTCAAATAAGAGTGTTTATCGGGTATTTGCATTAAAAATATCGTCTTTTCGCTATCCGTTGAAGTTATTTTCGTTGTACCTCTAAAATGTATCCGAGTAGTTCATACCCAGGCTAAGATTACCAGTAGGAAAAAATTGCCGTAACGATCATTCAGTGTAATTGACAACGTTTTTCAATGAGATGATCGTCCAAATACTTCAATGGTTGTCGATAACACTGATAACTGCACTTATTTAGCTTACACGTTGATATGTTAATATGGCCTTTATATCATAAATTAAAAAGTCGTAATTTTTTCTTAAATATTATAGTAATCAGTTTTTAATCGCCAAGAACACTTCCGAGCATCGAATTAATTTATGATTCTAAATCGAAACTGTTCAGTAAAGAAAACCCAACGATAAATAAGGAAAAAGTTCTAAAAAATGTATATTATTGATTTCTGTTTTAAACTAGTCCAGTAAAGATTCCCACGTAACGACGAACAAAGTCTGGCGACTGAATATTGTTAAGAAACATTTGCGCTCAAGATGATATGGGAAACAATAGTAACTCGTATACCACGTCAATGTAGCAATCGATGTGTGAGCACTGCAAATAAATATGCAGATTATTCCGTTCAAGGGAATAGTCGAAGTCGTGCGCGCAAACGGTTTGGGGAGTTCAGTTCGTTCAGGGGAGGTACTGACTTCTCTAGTAGCAAGAGTCATGTCAGTACGGTCCCCAAAAATCGGACTTATAAATTCTACAGGGTCACGCGCACGGTTTGGGCACTCAAGTACCTTAGAGAATTTAAAAATGTGTGTAAAGAACCTAACTTCAATATTTCTATTTCGTAGTTTAATAGATTATATTGCGTGGCAAAATGCGACTAATTTCAAGCGGTACCTAACCAAGTAAAACCAATTGTACCCCTGCTCTCCGTCCACCGTCCATTTCTAAGGCCCTAGCTCTACGAAAACTAATCGATTGGTAAGTAGGTAAAGAGTCTTTAGGTAAAAACATGTTCCAAGAAAAAAGAACGCAGTGTTGAACATTAGCGAGGAGGATATCATATGTCTGGATCCAAAGGATAAGGACGCATCGTTGCAGAACGGAGCATCTAGAGTTTCAAAAACAGAAACTAGAGCCTAAGGGCCTTATCGGCCAAAACTGGCATTTCAATGTAACGTGTTGCAAAATTATAACCCAAATACAGAAAATGCAAAAATTAAACTCAAAATGGGTCCTTAGTGAATTCACTCCAAGCTGTTTAGAAATTCCAACATGTTTAGAAATGTGTTATATTCCACGTGCAATTCGCATGACTTTAATCATAAAAAAACCGGTCTGAAGCATACGGTCGTTATGGACGAGGCATGGATTAATCTCTATCTGGCTGCCAATGAAAAACAAAGAGAATAGTTTTGCCTTGGAGAGAAGCCGAGTTGTGGTAGTTGCGAGTAGCCTTGGACATAAGGCGATGGTAACACTTGCCATAGACATCCGGAGCTTCTGCTACTAAGAAGTACTTATTAAAAATGAGACACTGACTGTAGTCCGCCGTCTCGAATTCTTCAAAAGACTCATGAACCCTTGGCACACCAATCAAAAAGCATATAGTTTAACTGCCTGCTAACAACGTCAGGCCTCATCGCCATACCTTAATTTCTTCCTGGCTTGAGAAAAAGAAAATACAATGTTGACTTCAACTCAATTATTCTCCCGATCTAAGTCCGCGCGATTACAGGACTTTACGTTACGAGCATATTATCAATTTACTTTAAGAAAGCGTAAGTCATCATTTTAACCCAATTTTTAGTCGATGTCGTACAATATTGACTTACGTTGTTATATGTTTTCGTCCATTTCCGACTGAATATGTTACTGCGTATTTAAATCCTAATAAGAATGAGAGCGTTCTCGGAATCTTATTTAATTGGGCAACGGCGTGGCAGAAACGATAGTTTAGTGGTTAGAGTAATGATCGCTGTGTGCGCAGCACCTACTTCTAAAGATGTCATATTGGAAAAAAATTTCCATAGATCACTGATTGCAAGTTAACCGTATTTTTATTCAGAAAACCTTCATATATGTCATTGTAAGTACAGCCATTTTATGTTAAACTAAATTTGGTTTGTTTGGATTTAAAAAAATTTTTTTTTTTTTTCATATATCTTCCAGGGTTCTAAACATATATTGTTCCGACTAACCTATAATAGCTTTTTCAAAAATGATAAATGGGAGTTTGGCAGAATCGAGAAGCTAGACGTCGAAGAAGGAGATGATGACTATACCTTTAATTTGTCTGGTGTCGGTTTAAGAAAGGTGAGCTATAATTAGGCTATAAGAACTCGGTATAAATTTAATTTCGCTGCTTCAATTCACCAGTTATAGCTCTATAATCATAGGTACAAGCAGTCACTCTGAAAAATTGTTCGACAACAGCTATATAATAAATACCCTTTACGAATTCAACAGGCGGAGCGTGAGAGAAAGGCATTCATTTGCAATGATTTTAGGGGCTATTTCCGGGAGTTCAAAGTTTACTGACCTGATAGCCAGAGACTTAACAACGTAACAGTCAGCTAGGCTCCAAAGCTCTGACCATATTTTTGCAGATTAAATTATGCCCAAAAGATAAACGCAAAATTGCACTGTAATAACTACAGGAAATGTTAAAGGTAAACTTCTTAGCTTAACACATTATTGCAATTCTTAGTCGTTGTTATACCTACTGTGGCCACCGCCAGCAAAACTTGTGTGCAGCAATCGGTTCTACAGGCTCAATTCAAAGGTAAACACGTTCACTGGTGGTGGATATGTTGCTCATATGCGATTGATTAATTTTCCTCGAAAAAATCTTTGATTTCAATTGATGTGTTCACCTCTACTTTGAGTCACAAGCATCCATGTAGTTAGTTCAGACGCAGTTGTAAAGATAAAACAATTTCGAAAAAAATTATCAACTGTCACTATTTGTAACACGCTAGCTTTATAAAAATCAAGCTCAGAAAGTGATGAAACTGACTACCACCACGAAACAGAGGCCTACATTTTCGCCAACATAGTTAATTTTTTTCGTTTCTTGGGATTTATGCTTTACTGCCCCTTCTCCTATCGCCCCTACATTACGAACAGTTCTTTGATGCTGTATACTACATTGTTTTCATTTGGAGGTCTTCCTCATTTCAATTAATTTTCCATTGGAAAGTTTTTCACTGGCTGAGGCATCTGGGAACTCGTGGCAAATTTTTTTTACTACTCTCTCATATTCCACGCTACTGCACTCTTACATGCCAAACTGTATGCGTGTAATTTTAATGAACGAAAATCTTATTATTACTTTCAGATCCTAATAGCTAAGACCGTTGAAATACGCGACGATTGGATGGAAGCAATCATGGATTTGCAAGATCTACAGTCATCAACCAAGGCCGAACAAGAATAGAACTTGTGTTATTTCAGTCAATTAAAATGGTAGTAGAAAATATATAAGCGTCATTTTTTATCCCTTCGAAATAAGGCTATTTTACTATATTATTGACTATAATGTGTTGTGTCCATCAGTCATCCAGAAAAATACTGCGCATTTAATGCGGGAACTGCACGGTGGAAACCGATATGGAATATGAAATATTTACCATTATATGCTAAATTATGAAGTAAGATTCATGCGAATTGGATTTAGAAGCATTGCTCATAGATAGTTACAGCACAGTATAGAAGCATACAGTTCCAAGAGATTCTAAGCCTTGGTGTTATAGCTTTGTTAAGTTAAATTGGAGATGGTGACTAAAGTTGAGATGACGATATAAGCAATGAAAATTCTTCTAATGAGTAAATATACGGACGAAAAGCAGCCAATTGTAAAAAAAAACAGCAACCTATAGTAAAATCTTAGTTTTTTGGGTCACATGGACCCAGTTTCGTCATTGGCTTTTTTTTTTTATTTCTAGGACTCTCTAGTGTTCATTTTTTTTTGTCTCAATTAGACGAGTTCAGTCGGGTTACTATTTATATTTAGAGCCTCACTGAGTTCGGGTTCATAGTGGCGCATCGCCTTTAGATTCTGTTAAATCCTTCTGAGGAGTTAGCGTGCAGTTCGTATTTTTTTATATGCCAATATTTTTACGAATTTCATTAATGAAGCTAACTAAACGATTTTCGCTCCAAAGCTTTCCTAGTACATGAAGGTGATTTAGAGTGCAATAGAGTATTAATGAAAATTAGCTAGAAAAATAAGCGATATCCAGATAGCGTGTTTATATAATAAAATGTTCGGCCTTATTGGCAGTCAGATATTGATGGGGAGGACCAAATTTTTCATATAATAGTACACCTGACTTTGAACGCATGTGTATCAGAACGCACTCTAATATCACTTGAGTCGAGTACTAATTCCATCAGTTACTCCTAGGGAGCGAACGTTGGAACGAATAGAAGATAACAGAAAAATGTAGTACTACGAAAAGACTTAAGTGTGCGACCCAATTAATGGCCATATATTCGAGATATGACATGCCCGTAAAAACAATGCTTTGCTCGAGGTCGGCGTAAACCTTTAGCTAAGCTCACTGGAGAGAAACTAGGTCAATTAGCGTATAACTGATTTTGCACCCGCTTTTTACTAATAATAACCCTTGAATATATTATAAAACTCAAGGAATTATTTGTGTATAGTTTGTCCTTAGTTGCTAGAAGGTGTATTTACATTAAGCGTACTTATGCCAATGATTTTTTATAGACCTTCGATGAATATGGAGAACACTATCCGAGACAGAAGGCTCGTCTGGGTATTTAAGCTTTGGACACAAAACGATTGTACTATAAAAGTGATCTTTTTATTATAAAAGATCTAAAAAAGAAAACTGTTTCTTAAACGCCAAGTACTAGATTTATCTAGAATGTGTATTAAATGATAACAATTATAAATTGTAATTATATTTGTATAAATAAATTTAAATTATTAATATAATTTTACCACACTTGAATGAACTCAAACCATAGATTTTTATGAAATTCTAGATAGTTGTATAGGAATGATCGAAACTGAAAGCGTCCATTTTGATACAAGTTACACGCTTTATAGCTGAAATAGAGTAAGCTGGGGAGCGATTTCAGAGAAACATACATCGTAGAACTATAAAATAGCATTTTTTGGAAATCCATTTTTTGGGAAGAGTTGATGTAGAAGGTGTCGATACTTTTAAGTTACTTAAAAGTGCATATTGGCGACGTCGATGTTAAACAATCGATGCAAGACATCGTAGTATGACGACAATACTCAAAACTTGGAAACCTACTGCTATTGCGGACTTACTCCTAGATATATATATATATATATATATATCTATAATGTTATCAAACACTAGACAAGTAACGTACAATATGCTAAACAAACTAAAAGCTGAGTTCTATCTTTTTGTAAACAACTATGTACTGACTCATCTGTCATAGTCAGAATATGCAATTTTTGGCAATGAACAAATGTTGTCCGATTTTGCGAATATTTTCCATAGATCTTGATCTTGCACTTATAAATAGAAATATATCATAAATTCAAAAAGCTATTAGCCATAAATATAGGTATTTTGTAGACACAATAAGTGTTTCTTATTAAGTTAGTTGTAGCTATTCTTTAAGTAGAAGTTGAAATTGGTAACTAGAATCGTTCTTCATTAAGCCTATTTGTATGATTTCATTATTTCTGAGCTTACATTTGAATAAAATGATAAGAAACATATTAAGGCTTCAAAACGTATGGATAGGAAAGTTAGCTTAGAAAAATACGATCGTTCGGATTAAGATATTAGTTTATTTTAGGCTTTTTTGATCTATACTCAAAAATCAGAGCTGTTTTCACAGCTTTTTCATTCATTATTGACAGATGTACAGCTGAATACCCGCACCACTAGAGCAATCCAGGGAACTCTTATAATGAGATTTTTTTTTTTATTTTTATAAATACTAACTCATCAATAATCACGGTTTCCCATACGAACTAGTGTGATTTGGATGCCGCCGTGCATGAGGAATATTCTATTCTAATTTTTCTACCTAAAAAGTCTTTCATCAAAAGAGAGTAAAGATATGTTCAAACAGAAACGAAGCTGTAGCTCTCGTTTGCGCTTGTTAATGGTCTAAGAAATATACGAATGTCTTATTAAAAGATTACAAACTGTTCCTTACAGAACTCGAAAGAAGAAAGAAAAGTCGCTTTTAGAGCTGAGCTATCGCACATCTGTGTAAGTTACTATTTTCGAATTACATTTAAAAAAGTAGAGGAATTTAGAAATGCCGACGCCACTTCTCAATTGATGAATTTTAACAGACTACTTTAAGAATAAAAAAATTAAGTACAAGTAGGAATAGGATAACACCGCATATTGTCTCCCAATAGCAGTACTCATCAAACTCGACCAAGTCCATTAACAGGCAACACTTTTTTTCGAATCGACTTTAAACGTACTTAAATGTATAGAAAATAGAAAATTACCTTTAAAAATTATCCAATAAAAAATAATTCGTTACACTTCTCCTTCAACCATAACGTGTCGCCGTGCAAGGGCTATATTTTGCTTGAAGATCGAACGGTGATGTCGAAGGAACTGTGGAGCAAAGTGCCGCAGGAATTTTACCTGAGTTGTGGATAGGCCTAAGAAGCCATACATCGAAAATAAGGTGAAAAATTCTGCTGAAATACCCGTTAGACTCTGGGTCGGACTTCCTCACCTCCTCGAAGGGGTGTATGTTGATATCGCAAAGTCAACCAATGAGAATGTATTTTTAATTGTAGTAGATGCATAATCCCTGTAGCCGTGAATATCATGAGTTCGGCTACGACGATTAATATTATCAACGCTCTATAGCATATATTTTTCAAATATGCACATCTATTCATTGTAGTTACTGAACATAGCTTCCAGTAGACCTAGATGTGTGTTATAACTTAGTAAAGTCAGCTGGTGCAAAACATGTAAGAACTGCACCATGATATTCCCGCACAGCTTAGCCAAAATTGACGAAATTATTGTAAATTAAGGCATCACAAGGTGCCATTACTCCAAAAGATAAAATCTATAGGCTTTTAATGCGATGTCAAAAGACATTGCGTTAACACCCTACGGATCAACTCTAAATGTAATTGACGACTTGCGGAACAATTCTTAGAAAGTGAAATTCTCAGTGTGTCAGAGACCCTATCTCTAAGGAAAGACTAATATCTAGGCATAAAAAACCCAACAATCTCCCGACAGAGACGGCTCCGATTGACTAGATGGCGTAAAACTAACGTGAAGCATTAAGTCTGAGTCAGGGCACTTTAGATCTTCTAACAATGAAGAATGATATCTTGATTCTGTGGTTGAATGGGTACTAGATACTACAGGGAGAAGGCAAAATTGAACGTACAGCACTTGTTTCGTTACGCTGACCAGACGCCATAAAAACAAACAATAAATAACAAATGCTGCAAACATTAAAAGAGACTCGGAACAATATTACTCTAGGAACAAAAAAATCTCAGTTAAAGGATGGAAAAGGTGTAATGGATGTTCCCTGAATAGGCAATAATATATGGAAGATCAGATTTGTATCTCTTCAAAATGGATTGTCTCCATGGTGTAGTAATTCTCCATGGACTGTCCACATAGTTTTAGGTAGATGCAATCTGTATTTCTTACCGAACTGAGTGAACTGAATTTTAATCTGATATAGCCTGGAGTGTATAGTTATTTGTTTCTTATTGGAGCCCGGAAACTTTTACCTTCTAAACTGAGATTTTCAACTATAAAAAGATAAAACCAATTTTCGCGTACGCTATAAGGTATTGCGCATTCATCTACATCATCAATTATTACTATTAAAAACACAGTTACAGGGTAAACAATGCGGAAAGCATAGACTAATCTCAAGAAAAATTCGTGTCAAGTTTCAAGCCCATGTGTAGGCGAGACGCAAAGGTAGCAAGGTTTATATATATATGCGAGCTCTCAGTCAAGAAATCCTGTATTGTTTCTGTTTTTGTCTACTTTGCATGTTTAATTCTGAAAAAAAGTGGACCTTTGTATGCAAAAGTGAAATTTTTAACTAGTCATAGGTTGCCCTGCGATTCTCCAGACAAGGCTTTGTAAGTTACCAATTGTTTACGGGATTCTACATGCACGTAGTCATATTATGATATATTTGAATTTGTGAACTAAAACACAATACATGACTGTATTGTAAAGTAAGAAAAATATTTTTTTAAAGGACCAAAGAGCTGGTAATAGCACCTATAATTTCGTGAAAAACTACTACCACCCTTCCAGCTCGTAGACACTTGTAGTACATAGAGTTAGGACACACTGAAAAATTAGCGACAGCCAATTTATTTTACTACTCACTAAAAGACCACATATGATAACATCACCTTGTTAGATTCCAACATTTAGCTAATGAGCGATGCAATACTGCCGAAATCACCATTGAACATTATAATCGCTATGATGATAGCTTGATTCAACTAAAAATTTTGCGTGCATAGCATGTAATTTTTTTTTATAAAGGCTAAACTTTTTTATAAAGGCTTTTTTTTTATAAAACTAAACATAGACACTCATTCTCTGATCCTTCAAAATCGCTGTTTTTTAGCATTAGGTTATTGTTTTCTGTTCTATCCATCCTAAAGTACTATTATTCAACGTGTGCGTTTACCTAACAAAAATGTATATTGCAAAAAAATACCTAATATATTATCGTGATATAGAATGATTCTTTCTGTAATCTTGCCATGCCTAATTATATGTTTTATCAAACTTTTAAAGTCATTTCAAAACTGCAGTAAGTGTAGTGCAAAATTGTAGTGACTTCCAGTAAAGTAATCAAGATATATACGTGAATAATAATATATTGCTCGAAACATTTAACTAGCCAGAAATGTCTTCTCAAATGTTATCGTTATCACTATTATGCAGATCTATATTTTTATGAATAGATGCATCACTATAACAAGTCGCTAGTTACCCTTGTATTGAATAAATACGGGTATAAACTGTGTGCCGGTAATACTACTTCCGTAAAGCAGAAAATCTCATTTCTCTTTTTATAGAAGTTAAGCAACGTTATGTTTCAATTCATACACAAGTGACATCTTTTAAATGCAAATTCTTGAACTTATCTGCAGCTCTATGTCCTAGAGCAGATATGAAACTTTGAGAAGAACACTTAGGGTAATACTATGTCTATTATAACGCACTAATTCATCAATGCATACTTATCCAGTAAGTGTCATTAAAACTTTAAGCATCGCAACAATTGCCACGAAGTATACTTGGGCAGTTTAGTACTGAGTTGTGCTAACAGTGCCTTAGGAGCATATTACAAGCATAATAACAGGATCATTTGCCCTAGTGGCACTATGGGACGCCGATATATTCACTATTAAAAACTGAATTAAATTAAAATTGAAAAGGTAATATAGCAAATATAATTTAAGGAAATATGCGAGTGTGTGGCGATCTCTATTCAAAAAGCAAAGACATGCGTATGAAGGCAGTTTGCACTTTGACAGAGACTGTTTCATTAACGTGTTAGGAAAGGTGTCAATGGATTTTTTCCAGCAGAACAACTGCGTATTGCAAAAATCCTCAGCACGTTAGCACTTGTAAGTTCTCATCAGCAACACTTCAAACTACGCGGAAATAATAAAGGATTCGAAAATAGAATGTATCTTCCTGTAATGTAGATTTCGTAACCAATTTGGTTCCGACTATATGACTTTCCATTTGGATACAATTCTTGTTTTAAATGGCTTCCCTTTCCTACAATCCGTGTTTAGCCGCCAATTTTCGCGCTGCATTCTTTAAGAAACATTTTCATTAATTATGTAAGTCAACTCCAGAGCTGTTCGTGTCTTCAGAGCATTTTGAGAAATTGTCAAAAAGATAAGGAAAAATAAAATTGAAAAAAACAAAGAAAAAAGAATAAATTATTATAGCCTGGTCCGGTGCTCACACAGCCTAGAAAGACACTGATCAATGCATTCTTGTGCCTGCAGCTTCTCGCTCGTCTGCGCTAGCGTATAGGAGGAGAAACCAAAAAACTACCCGATGTTGTATAATAGAGCGCGGAAGAACAATAAGATGCTAAGATGAAATGCGAAGCTAAGCAATTTCAGTTCATGTTTGGACTTTTCAAAAAGCGACCATGTAATAAAACCGATGCGGTAGTGGCAATTACAACCGTTGAATGAGTCAATGAGCGCTCAAGAAAGCGTTTTCAGGTTACTTGACAACTACTAACGTTTGAAAACAAGTTCTATTCAGTAAGTAAGAAGTGCTATTATCATATTGTATCAGTATAGTAACTAATCTCATAAATGAATAAATAAAAAAGTAAATGATACGGCTTTAAATTTTACATAAATGAGTGAATTCAGTGACACCTCACCGGTAATACTAATGTACATTAAATCGTATGCCTATGAATGATTCAGCTAAATTCGATTTTCTTTTTAAATGGTCATCTGTGATTTCATGAATGTGTTTATACGAAGCATTAGACAATGAGATTTCGGTAAAAAGTAGCTGTTATCGTTACATTATACGAACATCTACCGAGATTATCAACTTTTTTTTTGTATAAAATATACGACCTATATCATTTTAATTTTCTATGAGCTGCGGAAAAATCTGAAAGGAATTCCCAGGATGGAAACCGGAGGACCGTTAGTAATTGTTAAATTTAAACGACTTCATGAAAACTGCGCTGTTAGCCCAGAAATTTGTCGCTATTAGAGTGGGCTCCATCCTTACCAATATCGCGTAACGCATGGTTACTATTAGAAAGTTATCTGCGGATTAAAGAAATTTACGAAGGATTTTTGAGACTACTAGTAACTCTCTTCAAATGAAACTGTAATAGCGATGATTGGTGGGCATATTTTCTAACATGATTGTGAGAAGTGACACTTTTAGCACGTGCAAAAAAAATTGCTTGCAAAATATTTGCTCTTCTTTTGGTCAGTCATGAAAACAACTTCAAGAAAAATCAGAATGGGCGAAGCCATGCCTATTTGTATAAATACATCACTTGTCTTTAGTTTGGCTCAAATTCTGTAAAATATTCAGAAGAAACTACAGAATTAATCCAATGTTGAAAAAATAGAATTTTAATAGATTCTTAGTATGCAGCTGGTTATCAATATTTTCGGTAACCATTCATCTTCTTATTAAGCTCCATATCGTACTCTTTTGAATACAGGCTATCATTCATCTGTGCCATATATAACCGACACATCGATAATGGGTCACATCATGTTGGTAGTCAATACGTTCGATTCAATACTCAACCATTCTGTATGACTTACAAACGTATCGTCAATTTTATCGTTGATGTAAGTTTTTCTCCGTTTATCCTTATGCCTAGTTTTGGAATAAAATATTTTTATCATTTTTTTTAACCTACAAATGCTGTGCTATTTATACAGACTTTTAATGATAGCGCTAAGTCATTGCTTGTCAAAGGTGAAAGTATGCGTAACTATTTTGTTTTGCTTCTTTCAAACCTACATTTTTGCAAGTTTGCATATAGACTAGTCCCAAGTACACGAAAGTAACGGCCACAATCTAAAATAAACTCTGTAAAAGCCTCGCAAGGAGGAAAGAGATGTCCCTTGTGAAAGGAGAAATCTTAGTAAGACAAAAATGCCGAGGACCCTGACAAATAGATGTTGTGTGCCGATAAAGCCAAACATGCGTATCTCATAGCTTCCTGGTAGCGTCCTTAAAAAACTGCAAAGCTGGAAGCTGCGAGCCACTCCACCTCGTTTAATGACCAAGAACTTTTCAGAATTGTGCCAAGAACTTAATTATTTCACTAACTTCGTTGCCCTGAACTAATAAAAAAGAAATGAGTCCTTAATGGTTAGTAGGCTCTTTTTTAATTTAATCAAAAATACTTTTGCTTGGATTGTATTATGGATGGCGAAAAACATCTTCACTGAATATGTCCCAACCGCTAAGAAATTGTGAGCCATAT